TCCCTTGAGAGTTCTGTAGTGAGGTTCATGTGGAAAGGCAGAGAGCAATGTTTATTTCCTGGAGCAAGAACTGACAGGTGACAATCCCTGGGAAAAATGTGGCCCACCTCCAGTATTGTGTATAAAGTTTTAAAGGAACACAGCTACACTGGCTTGTTTTCTGTACTGGCTATGGTTGCTTTTGTATTACAAGGGCAGGGCTTAGCAGTTGTGACAGAGACTGTGTAGTCACAAAGCTAAAGAGATTTACTGTTTGGTCCTTTGTAGAAAAGTTTGTGGAGCCCTGTCTTTGAGAAGAGGTTGGAGATTTTTGCTTCCTATGCAAACAGATTTACATATACATTAGCACAGCTCACATACAGTGCCTGGCACATAGCAGAAAGCCACAAATCTTCCGTCCCTCTTCTGAACTTAATTCTGCTCTGGAATACATAGGATCATATCTGAGAAATGCAGAGGCAGGCACATTTATATTTTTATTGAATTCTATTCCTCTCTCATTTTCAAAAGAAGAGCTCATGTTTAAAAAAAATTCTGATTGGCACTATAAACCTTATTTATGCCTTAATGTCTCCTAAAGTATGTATCCCACACTATTTTTACTCCCTTACAGATGCTGATATGCTGTACATTACCAAATCCAAATGGATTCTCGAAATCCAATTTCCTTGCTACAGTCTTCCATTTCTCTGTTGACTTTTTATGTTTGACTTGCATCAGAGAATCTGGGGCTCTTGCCACATTTTGACCTTAACCTGCCCGGTGAAATAGCTCATCCGTCCAAGAGGAGAGTCCTTGATTGGTGGCTGCCCTTCCCAGTCCTCCGGTGATTCTGTGAGTCTCCATCATGCTGGCTGGTGGCTTCTGGAGGCTGCCTGAACTAGTTCTTGGGGTGGAGGTGACGGTGCTATTTCCTCCCCAAATGGCTATGCTAAGGTTGAAATCAGTTACCTGACACTGCATGCTCCTTATGTCTGAATAGGATCAGTGTCCAAATGAGTTTCTTTGGGGATTCTTTCCAATCATACATCTTCCTTAAGTGGCCTGCCACAAACACCTAAAGAAATGGTCAGGCCTGTCGTGTTATGGTCTCCAGGGAAGACAGATAGCTGTGACTTTCAGATGATCAGCATCACCTACAAGAAATCTTAAGGCCAGGTGGGTTGGATGAATGTTTGCTGGACTGGGTTCAAGGGAGCTTGGATGTCTTCTCTTCTCCTTTCCTGGCCATAGTATCCATGGCACCATGACTTATTGCCATTTCTGTATCTCTGTAGCCCCTGGGGGTTCCTAGCTACTTCTGATCCTCTAGAATACTTAGGTAAGAAGGTTCCTGGTGACCATCTTGTTCCTGTATCTCAGAAAACAAATGGGAATCGCTAGGAAGTTGTCTTTAGCAGGCTGTGTCACCTGCTGTCAGAGTGCCCAGTCTCAATCTCATGACCACTCTGACTCTTTATCTGTTGTCTGAGAGGAAGAAAACACAGGAATGATTACTTAGGAAATTTCCTGTAAATGAATTTTTCCCTTAGTAGTTTGAAGTACGTTATGCTTGCATCAAGCCACATGAGCAGGGAGGAGGTGTCTCTGTCTGTTAGCACTGGGCCACAGTGGTTCGTTTCTCCTGATGTGTATGTTTGGGTGATGCTATCAATTTGTGTTGAGAAGGATTATGAGAAGTAGTGTCATGAGATTTGCCATGCACTCCTGTACAGATGTAGCTTCAGATAGAAGTGGTGTTTCATTACGGGATATGAGGCTCGTCACAGATATTCCTGCAGAGGCTCTTGTCTGATCTGCGTTCATGGACTGGTTGTCATTTTCCTTGGACAGATTGGCTTTTATTATGAGAACACAGTGTCCAGTACCTGGGAAGCTTTCCCCTTTGATAGCAAGAGTCAGGAACTCAGAGTCGGGGACATACCACATTAAGGCAGATGACATGTGGGAAATTAAAGCATGGATCTATAACTCCCTCCTTTTACCCTGATTTGCTGGTTCTTTTCTCTGTCCTCAGTGTCACCATGCTGCAGATACTGCTTCTGAATATACCTGGCTGATGGAGCAGGATGGTGAGAAGTTAGACAGCATCTCCTCAGTATGCTGTGCATTTGTAGGTTTCACCCAAAGCAAGGCAGGAACTTTAATTCCACTGGCCATATTTGAACATGGGCATTCTGGCAAAGTTCTGACTGTGTGCTTGGCTGAGATGCGTGTGTGTGTGTGTGTGTGTGTGTGTGTGTGTGTGTGTGTGTGTTACAGTGTCACTGTAACTGTTTTGTGGGGAGGCATTAAAGATATGCATAACCCATGAAAAATTCTGGCAGAAAGCACGGTCTGGATGTCCTAAGAAAACAGTAGTTGAATGTGGAATATGGTACTGCCTTTGATTGCTCTAAGGAAGTTCTTTCTTGTATGAGTGTTCCACTGCCACTTCTTCCCTCTTTGATTGCTACTTCCTGTAGCCCCAGCCTCGAAGGCCCTTGCAGCATCAGAGAAGGACTGTGTGTCAGGGATGTTTTCTGTGTGTAGCACATGTCTCTGAGAGGTTGGCATGGTGGAGGGTCATTGTAGCACAAGTCTGCTTCTGATTCATGGTTAGAAATCTTGTACCACTTCAACTAGTGGTTCTCACCCACTCCCTGTAACATGCATTCTTCCTGGTCCCAGAGCCGCATCAGTCCCAAATGAACACACAGGATGCTATATTAATTATGATGTTGTTGGCTGTTTGTTATGGTTTATTAATGGTTAATTAATAAACTTAATTATTAACCCATAATTACTAATATATATTTTATATGGTCTTATCTTACCAAGGACGCAGCCCCATGCATTCTCTTCCTGGGACCACAGGGCAACTCTCTACTCTTGACTACATTTCCCAGAATCCTCCTCTACACCTAGTCCTAGCTATCTTGCTTCCCTATAGGCCAACAGTACTTTATTTATCAACATAGGACAACATATACACAGAAGGACTTCCCCATAAACTCCCAACTACAGCCTCTGTAGTGAATGCTTACTTCTGTAATTACCCTTTAACTTGCTTGTTTATTAATGGTCTATCCTATTAAGCTTCAGCCAACTCTCTGGAGTCAAACCAAACAACCTAATTGTCTCCTCCTCAAAATCCCTCCTCTTAATACCACCTCCTTGGGGGAGAGTTCCAACATAGGGATTGGAAGAGGACACAGGCATCAGGGAGACCTGCAGTGGATGTAGCTCTACTTGAGATGGGGATATATGGGTGTTTAAAGGAGGTCAGGATGCTGAGCGCCAAGGAAACAACACAGGGAAAAGATGGACTACAATATGAGTGGGTGTGGATGGCCAGCTAGGAGGCTGTGGTGGGTTCAGACAAGCAGGTACCAGCTCCTTTTGTGGACTATGCTGTGCTGTGCTCCCTTTGGAATGTCCTTCCCCCAACCCCACCCCCACCTGCCTGCCTTCCACTTGTCAAAAGCCTCCTCCAGTGCCCTGTTAACTCTCTCCTTTAGAATAGTATGCTCCTGTTTCTCTGGTCACAGCAGCTCTCCTAGTTGGAGCCTCCATTCTAGTCCTTTATCTCTTTCAATGTCACCTTGAATGGACTTATATCCCAAAAATATGCTAAGTTTATCCTTGCCAATATCAAACAGACACAACATGTCAAATGATGGATGGCTTGAACTTTAGGGGAGAATCTAGAAACACTCACCCTTAACTTTCTCATCTACCAAGTGCATGGTTGTCTAATTCCTCACCAGTTTGTTCATTCAACTTTGTGAAACATGGTTTTCAATTTACTTTTTTAGGGAAGAAGGTATATTGGGGGGATCTGGCAGTGGCATCTTATTCTGCCAGTGGGTTTGCGGTGGTGGCTGCATCCTAAGACCAGGTGAAGGTACATTTAAAGGAGTCCACAAAATCCAAAAAATGATTAACAGGTATTTACAATAATGGTAAATAACTGCTGTGGTCTTCCTGTTTCTGAAGATGCAGTCTCTGCCCTTCCAGATGCTCCAACACCAACCCAGGAAAGAGAGCCAGCCCTTACTATTCCTTATAAGGGGTCAAGTCTGCACACCTGAAGCTGTGCCCCTAGGATGCAGCCACTACCACAGATCCACTGGTGGAACAAGATGCCACTACAGGGTCCAGAGTATATTCTGTGTATTTTTGTAGTCAATTCATTTAATGTAGTCATTTAATGACATGACATAAGGTAGATGTTTTCTTCCACAGGTGGGGAAGCTGAGAGATCCCCCACCCCAGGGATGAACCAGGGCCCAAACTCACAGTTTTGCAAAGCCAAGGTGTCATGTAGACCTGCTGGATTTTGAAACTCCTGTTCTATAGCATACCAGCACCCTTTGCCTGTAGCAGGAAGCCATTACAGAGGCATGCTCTGGCATTCATTGTTCCTACTCATAATGATATGTTGCTGTTCATGTTCTCAGATGGAAAACAATGTCATGAGCCTTATTAACTTTCTTAAATGGGGTGTGGGGTGCCAACTGATGCCAGACCTTTCCTGGCAGCAGCACCAAAGCAAATACAAATATAAAAATCTCATTTGCCTACTTTGGGTTTGTTTTTCTCTTCTTCTTCTTCTTCTTCTTCTTCTTCTTCTTCTTCTTCTTCTTCTTCTTCTTCTTCTTCTTCTTCTTCTCCTCCTCCTCCTCCTCCTCCTCCTCCTCCTCCTCCTCCTTCTTCTTCTTCTTCTTCTTCTTCTTCTTCTTCTTCTTCTTCTTCTTCTTCTTCTTCTTCTTCTTCTTCTCCTCCTCCTCCTCCTCCTCCTCCTCCTCCTCCTCCTCCTCCTCCTTCTTCTCCTTCCCCTTCTTCTTCCTTCCTCTTTCTCCTCTTCTTCTTCATTATTTTTCGTTAGGTTATTTTTTTCTACAACACCTCTCTTTAGTTTAGAATTCAAAGCTGTAAATAAAGAAATGATGGGGAAAGGATAGCTAACCAAGGTTCATGCATGGGGACATACTTACCCATCTCTCTTTTTTCTGCAGGTGGCTGTTCTTTTGATGAACACTACAGCAATTGTGGGTATAGTGTGGCTCTGGGAACCAATGGCTTTACTTGGGAGCAGATTAACACGTGGGAGAAGCCAATGCTGGACCCTGCTGTGCCCACAGGTATGTGACCAATCATGTTTGGGGCTGAGATGGAAGTAGCTGACTTTTTCAGTGGCTCATGGGGGGAGGTCCTTTTTATGGATTGAGGTGAGAGAACAGTAGGTGAATATATAGATAGTGATTTACCCATCCTTAGAGGTGTTCTGACAAGGCTAAGTGATTTTTTAGACTGGAGCAATAGTCACAGGTCTTCAGGATCCAGAGACCTTTGGGATTAGTTTTACTTGGAGATTTTTAAGCTCTCTCTATGCACAGGGTATCACTAAGTTTTGCTGTGGGGTCTGATGGTAATGATATTTTAGAAAGCGATGAGTTTACTCCTTTCCTCTATGCCCCATAAGCTTGGGTTGTTCACATATATCTGGGGATTTCTACTGTTAAATTATCACCACTTGGGTGAATGTCCTAACATCTAGAATACCAAGCTTATTTAACGAATGAAAATTCTTGATGGATACCTGAATGGGGCATACCTGTGAGAGGTGAACCTGCTGGGTTTTAGGGGATGTACGTGGAGCAGCTATATACATACTCAATGAGAACACTGTCAGCTCTGGTGAATCGGGCAGGGTGTATCAGCAAATTTGCCTGGTGATGTAAGCCAGGATGTTCTACATCCCTATGAAAGTTAAGACAGTTCTTTGAACAGTGGGAAAGCCAATTGGCTATAGGATGTGAGAGGACATTGTGAAGACTTCCTGTCTAATGACTCCATATAGGGTATACACTGTCTTACATTCTACCAGCCCCTCAGCCCTCCTTGTTCTTTGCTAGTTCAACCTGGCCCTAAGCACTAGAGTTCTTTGGGCTTGTTTTGTACTCTCTTCATGGATGGCTTCTCCATCACCATTGTTTCTGATTCTACCTGAACACAGATAATACCAGCATCTGTGACTCCCATTTTAATATTCTCTTGGCCAACTCTGGGGAGAGGCTTTCTGGGATGTCAGTAAATGGAGACAGAGAAGAAAATCAGAAGAATCTGAGGGGAGAAGCATCCTCTCTTACTTTGAGCTTGTCTCCAAATGAGGAGATCTCTGGCTGATTTTGTATGGTTTCTACTAAGGCATGCATCCTATTTTTCAGTAGGATCTTTAATTCAAGGCTATCTCAAAAGGATGGAGAGAAACAAGCCCGAGGTACTAAATTGGGAATTTCAGATTAGGTGGTATCTTATTTTGTCTGAACAGAGGTATCAATTGTCACATATCCTAGTGAGTAAGGCACCATGGGAAACTGTATCTGTTGCTTCATTTTGATTTTTAGTAATGCTGATGTCATTCCTGTAGTGTCTCAGTCATTAATCCCATTAGGATCCCAAGAGCTCAAAATGCTTGTGCTTAATTAATTAATTAATTCCAAGGCTGGCCTGGGACTAGCTATGTAGATCAGGCTGCTGTTGAATTCATAGAGATCTATCTGCCTCTGCCTCCTTAGTGCTGGCATTAATAGTGTATGTCACCAACCCTAAATGTTCTCTGCTCTCTCTGGACATCTTTGAGATTGATCAAATCTGGATCTTACAGTGCATGTGTATGTGTACACATATGTATGCATATATGTATGGGTGATGGGTATGCATGCATTCATGTGTTTATGCATCAGTGTATGAATGTGTATATACATGAGTGTAAGTGCATACATGTGTATATATCTGTGGGTGTGCATGTGTGTGTGTATTCATGCACACAAATGTGTTTTCTGTATATGTTTATCTCACTCTAAATCATATAGAATCTTGCGGATCCAACATTTTCAAAATTGGCCTACCTGCCTGCCTCTCCCTTTCCTTCCTTCCTTCCTTCCTTCCTTCCTTCCTTCCTTCCTTCCTTCCTTCCTTCCTTCCTTCCTTTCTGAGATAGCATTGAACTCAAGATCTTCCTCCTTCCTCCTAAGAGACCAGTTTGTAAGAGTCTACCAATATGCATAGCTAAAAGTGAAGTCTTAATTCATCCTTTTCCCATCCATGTCTACTCGCTCTCGGAATGATTCATAAGCCAGTGGCTACACTTGTCTCCCTGGTTCCGATATGATAGTTTCTTCACCCTAATATTTCTTCAGCTCTTGCTCTACTGTAGTTTTGCCAGGTTTCTTTGCCTAGACTCTCCTTTTCTGGCTCAGACCACCTCTGCCTCTCCTCTGGGAACCTGGGGACCTTTGTTCTGGGTCTTTTGAATCCAATCCACACAGAAGTCAAAGCAATTCTACTGGAATATAGGACTATCCATCCCTCTCCAGTTTCTGTCTTGAGGACCTTGAGGTCTCCCTCTGCTTGGAGAAGGCAGAGTCCCACTGTCCCCTCAAGTCCCTGACAGCTTATCCCACCTCAGCTTCCACCCTCACGAGTCCTGCTTCCCCAATGCTTGCTTCACATTGGCTCCACCAGTTGCCAGAAAATTGTGATTCCCGCACCTCAGGAACTCACATACAGCAGTCCTGGGGAGCCTTTCCCTCTGCTTTGCCCTGCTGTTGCTACTCTTCCCATTCAGTCTGGGGTGGCTCTTGGTAAAGATCCCCTCTATATTTAGCACACTTCTCCCTCACACACATTGTGACTAATGTTCCTTATCCTCAGACAAGAAATCCGTGTGATTGGGGACCGCAGTAGCCTTGTTCCCAGCTCCATCTTCAGCAACTGTGGGACATGGTGTGACACACAGGGCATTCATGGCACAATGTTCTGGAAGTGTGCATGGATGGTGCCACTTATTAAGAGGTTAGTAACAAAGGTGTGAACACCAATTTAAAGGCCTTTGGAACTCTGCTTCCTGATCACATGTTTATCCTGGTAACAGTCCCTGCCTATTATACTTCCCATTTTACAACTAAGAAAAACCAAGGTTCTGGGCAGCAACTGGGTAAGATGGCTGCCTTCTCCTCCCCTCCCTAAGGCATGATGATTACTTCTAATCTTAATTTTCTCAGCCCCTTATTACAGCAGAGTGTCATTTCGTAAATATTGGATCATGCTAATACAATCTTCTGAGCATTCCTAATAGAGGCATTTGATAGTGATCACTGAAATGAGTCTGTCATGGGGCGCCTGTGGATCACTGTGGCTCTGCATGCTGCTCAGGCTGAGAGGCATGGAAGCAAATTTGGATTAAGAAGGAAACTGTTCTCACAGGCTGGGGCCGAAATCTTTTTCATGTTCTGTAGTTCAGTAGTTTCCATCTCTACTGAAATCTAGCTTGAGTCTGTTTATTCAGATGTCCCTCGCTGTTTATTGATCCCCTCTGTGCAACAAGCTCTGTGTCATAGTTGGCCTGGGTGAATCGGATCATGTCATTTTGGAGCTTAATCTCTTTAATGGCTTGGCCTTTAAGTAGACTCTGATTCATACACTGTGAGACCTATCCAGTCCTAGGCCACCTACTGTCTTATTTCAAGCGCCTTTCCTTCCCTCTCAGTGCTCCAGATACCCTGACTGGTCTAGTGATCGGTCATGTCACAACCTTTCCTGGCACAGGACCTTTGAGAATGTCCCTTCTGCTCACTGGAATGACTTTCTATACCCTTTGCCATTTTCTTCAAGTCTTAATTCATGCAACTTCAGGTGTCTAATTGTAGCATCCAGTTCTTTGCTTTCAAAGCCCTTTGTATGGACCCAATGTTAGCTTTGAAGCAGCTGCAAGAAAACACCTAAGAGAAGCAACTTAAATGAAGAATCACTTATTAGGGTTCAGGCCAAGGTGGTTTTGGACCTGAGTTAGGTCCAGCAGGACACCACAGCAGTGAGGGTGTGAGACAAAGGATCTTTTACTGTATGGTGTCAAGAGAGAAGAAGTCATGTCTTCAGTGATGCTGGTCCCCTACTCTGGCTCAGCTTCCTCAGTTCCCCCTATTTTCTAGTAGTCCATTAAATTGTTAATCTAACACTTCTCCAAATTCCCACTTCTGAATGTTGAACTGGGGACCAAGCCTTCACATGAGGGCCCTCTAGAGATATTTCAGATCCAAACCACAGCACGCATGACAGATGAGCTTATTCTAGTCTTGTCCCAGAACTGAGCAATGCTGGGAGCTCCTGTCTCAGCTTCCTTACTTCTCACTGGAAAACTCATGTGAGAGCTTCTTGAAGATGGATAGATGAGTGTGAATTGTCAGCCTAGGCAGATCTCAGGCTGTGTTAGCTGTCACTAGACTCTTTTCTAGTCCTTGAACCTTCTGGAAATAAGAGTAGGAACACCTGAGATCTAGTGCCTCCCTCAAGCCCACTGATACCCACTGCTGCTTCACAAGGGGGAGGCTTCTAGCAGCTGATCTGGCATGAGTCAGACAGGCCAGAGAAGCTTTTCACTTCCCTGGGAGTTTCCTGTAGTTCAGTTCCATGAATCCAGTACTGTCTCCCTATCACACTCTTCCTCATAGAGGAGTCTTCAGACCATAATTCCAGGCTTCAGACCCACTTTCCATGCCTAATGCTTGTGGTTTCATCATATAAAAATAGAGTAAGGGGTGCAACACCCACAAACCCTCTCTAGGGCTCTGTCCTATATTAACTGTAACTGCCACATATCCTTACCTTGGAGTGTACTAAATGTTTCTACACAATCGTCCTGAGGTTAATCTAGAGGACAGCCTGAAGAGAAGACAGGCTGTCCTCTGGATTAACCTCAGGACCATTGTTTGTGTGTGTGTGTGTGTGTGTGTGTGTGTGTGTGTGTGTGTGTGTACACTCAAATATGCCAAGACATTATTTTGGTGTGTGTACACATGCCTGGGAGTGCATCTGAAGGTCAACCTTGGGCATTTTCTTCAGTTGCTCTCTCCCTTGTTTTGTTTTTAAAGAGGATCTCTTCCTCTGGTTAGCAAGCTCAGGCGTCTCCTTTTGTCCACCCCTAAGTGCCTCTATGTGCATACTAATACACTGAGTTTCTTTATGTTATTTCTAGGACGCCATCTCAGGACCTCATGCTTGCATGACAAGTGGTTTACTCAGGGAACTACATTTCCAGGCCCCTTGGTGTCATTTTAAAAGGTTAAGACTCTGAGGTGGT